TTACAAAATAATCTGTAAAAAATATTTTAATTGATATATCAGCAAATGAATGCACAAAATTTTTAAGATGAATGTTGTAAGCACTAAGAAAAAAAATTGAAAATATGTTAAAATAAAAAAGCCTTAAAGATTTAAAAATTTTGAATTTTTTCAATAATTTTTAAAATTTGAAACAAAAATTAAACAGTTTAATTTTTTTTGAAGATAAACTATTGATGAAATGAGCATGTAAAGCATCCACAAAATAAACGATTATACCTTTGTTTAAAAAAATTGTTCCAAGGGTATTGTGACCCCTTAAAAAACAAACGACCAAATGAGAAAGAAATTGTTATAGCCTCCTTTTTAAGGCATCTCCAAACTTACTTCGAACAAAAATTGAAATAAAAACTGCAAAAAACAAAGAATTAAAATTCTGTTTCATAAGTACAGGCTTAATTGTGCATGGATTTATTCCATTTTTCTTAGCATCTTTGTGTGAAATTCAACTTAAATTCAAACAACATAAAGTTCTTATATATAAGGACCTACTGGTATGTAAGATTAAGTTGATTTTTTGCAATAATAGAGATTTCATATTTTTACGTCAGCTTCCGTACGTAAGATTTGAAGTTACTGCGCATGCTCGCATTCATACTAGATGGTACCTTTGTGTTACGTTGGTGTGGTTAACGTTACGAGGACAAGCTACAAGCACGCTGCTCTATAGCTATAAAACAGGGGTTTCCAACTTACATGGGCCGGGCCCCGCTATTAAAAACACCAGTCAAATGGCGGGCCGCAACTTTATCAAAATTTCGTAAAAGACTCTTTAATGTTTGATGGAACATTAAATATTACTTTAAAATTTTTATCAAGTTGTATAAAACAAAAGTATTGAATTGCAAATCATAATAAATATTTTCTTGTATGCAAAACCTGAGAAATAATTTTTTTGTACCGTTAGTAAGTTAAATTTCACAGAAACGAAGAAATTAGTTTTTTTTTTTTNTTTTTTTTTTTTTTTTTTTTTTTTTTTTTTTTTTTTTTTTTTTTTTAACAAAGGAAAGTATTATAAATCCATATAGATTTTTCACGAAAATTGTCCGCAAAAAATAATATCTAATATATTTTAGTTCGCGGGCCACAAAATAAGGTTTCGCGGTCCGCCAGTTGGTAACCACTGCAACAAAATCTTGTCTTCTGTTTAAGCTTACCTTCGAACAAAAAATATGTTCATGGAATGTACTTTATTTCAAATACCTATTTACCTTTGCGCATTCTCTAACATTAAAACATTCTTGTTTACTAGTCAGATGAAAAAGTTAAACTTCTTTACTCCAATATATCGCTGACGTAAGAGGTAGATATTTTTTTAATGAAACTTAACTGCGTTTTAGTATATCCTACAATTTCACTAAAGAAAGAAAAAGTAAATCAAGAGTTCTTGTAACTTTCAATGTTATAATGCACTACTAAACGTTATTTCGTGACATGCCTACATTTCTTCAAATTACCATATCTAAATAAGGCCTCTTTCTCTGTAAATATGCATAGTTGTTGAATATTAGATATGATGCCAGTCACGTCTGCAGAGAAAGCTAACGAGCGACAATTTGTTTCGGACCACGCTTTACATTGTTGCTCTTTATTGGAGTTCAAGGTAAATACGTCTGGCGTTTGTTCTACGAATAAAGGAAACTGCGTTTCAGAGTAACTTGAAATTCTTTCAGCTTTACATAGTTACTGTCCAGTAATTATAGTGGAACAGATGTAATAGTAATATGATTTTCTTCGGGGGAAATTGAAACCCACGACATTTTTTTTCTTTTGATTGAAAGTGTCGTCATGATATTCTTAATAATGCCTGAAAACACGCTTACTCTCTCGTGTACGCTTTCCCATTTTTTGATGGGTTATTTGAGGGGGATAATTGCATTTCTTGTTGACAATCAATTGAGGCATTACTTCCGATGCATTTTTTCACGCTGAATTTAATGAGGCCGAAACGATCGTGCTAATAGTTAAGAAGTTATAAGGGTTTCATATACGAAAAATAAAAATTTGCACTTATACCAATTTACACTTCTGATATTGCTATTTAAACAATGGAAATATTGTATAATAATGTAATTTTACGCTGATTTGAAAAAGATACACGCAACTTAATAGATCAAATAACTTTAAAGTTACAAGCGTTTTTATGTATAAAAAGTACTATTTTCGATGTAATTTATGTATACTTTTTACTTTGCTATTTAGGGGCTGTCTGAAAGCTTAAGCTTGTATCTCAAGAAATGTTTTTATACTGAATAGAATGAGATAAAAATACGAATTTATAGGATTAATAGTTTAGAAGTGATAAGGATTTTCTTCAAACTAAGTACGATTCAAAAAGAGTACTTTTTATACAAAGATCTCTTTTAAACTTTTAAATAATTTGCACTTTCGATTCGCATTTGATCTAATTCGCCAAAGTTAAAAAAATATAGGAAACACTGCTTCACTTGTCTGTATATCAATATAAGATAAATAAATAAATGTAAGTACGCTATTGTATTTTTTGCACATAAAGTGCTTTTAACTTCGAAATTATTAGTTCAGTAGTGTCGAGATAGGTCTCATGCTGTTCAGCGTAAAAAAAACTGTATCGGAAATATAACTTACATGATTAGACAGTCCCTGGATAGCAATGTAAAATGTGTTCATAAGTTCGTTTCACAAGAAATACGTTTGGGATATTTTGGCTGAGGGGATAGAGTGCTTGCCTTCCAGTGAGGATAACCGGGTTCGAATCCCAGGGATGACTGATCAAATTCGGCTTGCACTGAGCACAGAGCTGACGTAAAATATCCTCATTAGCAGACCGATCGTAACTTAGAGTACCCCTTGCCATCAGGCTAACCGTGGGAGGATTCGTATTTTTCCTCATCACGTAACGCAAATGCTGGTTAGTTCAAGTAAAAATTCCTTCACGAAGGCAAAGTTTTCCTTATACTTGATCCAGAAGTTCCCTTGTCTTATGGATTGGATTCAGAATTACAAGGCTATGGAGTTGAACATATCGTAAACCCGAAATTGGGTCAAGTGTTCAACGATGGTTATGGAAAAAAAAGTTTTTTTTAACTTATAAAAGTTCTTGCAATTTATGAACTATTTGTTCAGTTGACTTGTTTATAATCGTAATCGATTCAAAGCGAAAAAGAAAAAAAAAATACATTGAAAAAAATTGCTTCACTTGATTAAATAGCAATGTCAGATGCTTAAATAGGTACAAGTTTATTGTACTTTCTGTACATAAAACGCTTATAACTTCTGAACTAGCAGTCCTATCGGCTTGGTATTGATCTCATTCGAATAATCGTAAATAAGTACATCGGAAACAATGTCTGACTTACCTGTCTAGAAGAAATTCCATTTGCTCCCTCAAGTCAATCTCATTTCCCTCAACAAAAAAAAGAAAGAAAAAAAAAAGAAAAACGTCCAGAGAAGAAAAGATAAGTCTTTCGGCTTCCTTCATAATAATATAGCTAAGTTTTTTAAGAAGAAAAAATCTTTGGTATTGATTTTAATAATAAAAAAGACTTGTTTTACTGAACTATAACAATAATAAAATCATTTCAAAAAAATGGAAACTCCGCTCCTGCTCGCTTCACTAATCAACCCACACGATTGCTTTTCAACGATTACTTAACGATAAACAAATTGTGAAACTAAAATAAAATATAAGTATTTAATGAGCCAAAAATTTTTAATTGTGTTAACACAAATTTGGTTCCCTATTCTGTTAGGATGAAATTTAAACCTAATAATTTTGCTAACCTACGTTTTAAACATGTATTTTAATTTTTGGTTACAATAAAAACTTGGTAAACAGTTTTCGTTGAAAGATATTACTTGGTGAAAAGTTAATTCTTGATATTGCTTTAGAATTCTAAACAACTATTTTGCGTGCATTATATTAACTTTAGTTTTGGACAATGCCAGAAATTAATAGCTTAAAATAATATTAAGAAGGGGTAATAAATATATATTACTGGTAAATACCGATAAACAAGGAATCTGGATTTTGTTTATAAAGGATAATTTGTGATTTTTCTGTCCAAAGAGGATTCACGAAACGATGAGACGACGGTTATGATAAATAGTGAAATTTTTTTTAAAAAATAGATAAATTCTCATCAAAATTAGGAAAAATCCATTTAACGTACAGAATAAGGTTCTTATTTCTCCGAAACTCTTCAATTTTATTTTAAATGTTTTGTCTTATGATAGAAATGCCTTCCTCTAACTCGGGCTTGGTACAATTTTTGTTTGGTTTTATGCACCTGAGCTACTTATATATCACTTGGGATACGAAATAATTTCACTACCTTTAGTAACCATAAAGTAGCACATTATCCTGTTTGCTGTCGCTCACCAAAACCATGATTACTACACAAATATCCCTTCCCTTTGTTTTTCCCAAGTGTTTGAATAACATGTACAACGCTCAAAATAAAAATGATATCACTCTGAATAACTTTCGTTCTAATGATCTGATTTTCCCGTACTGAGTGTCAATCTTAATGGTTCATAAAGATGATTTCAAATATGCTACTTAATTAGAGTTAATTATTAATTAAGTTACGAAATTAAACACAAAAAATCACTTTCTCTGATTAAACACATTTATTCTTTTTACGTATTTAGATTTCTGACCCTAAAAAGGTAGCCGCAATCTGGAAAATGTGTTAATTTCACTCTCAATTGTGTTAATTTCACCCCTTAGTGTTAATTTCACTTTTTGCGTTTTTGGTTTTCCTGATTTTACAATATGTTTACCTAGAATAACCGAAAAAAATTGGGAACAGCTGAACTAGATTACCTGTTAGATAGCTGATTTATACACTTTATTGTTAATTTTATCGTTAACTGTTTCAGTAAAAAAAATACCAGGGTTCACATAAGCATAAACAAATAAAGCATTTTTTTACTCGTATTTGTAGTTGTAAATTTTTTAAATATTAGAAGACAAACAAAATTCTTGAAACTGATTGACGCCTTTATTATTATGTTAATAAAGGCCAAAAAATTATTGTTTTGAAGAGTTTGATCAAAAATGGAAGCTGATAAAACTAAAAACGATAATAATTTCATCTCAATTGCAATAGCATGTTTTTTAGGTAAGAGGATATTTAAACATATATTGAATGTGTTTTATTAAAAAACAAACGTTCGAAATATTCACCAAATTTACTAACAGCCTGAAGTCTCTCTATATATCTTCATTTATATTTATATATCACTCTTTCCATATATATATATTCACTTATTAACGTATTGTAAATTATGAATCACAAAATTAATTTATTTTCTTTTAAATGTTACAAACGCTATATTAGTACGTGACGGCCGAAAAGGAGAATAGCTTTCGAATATATGTACAGTTTAAAATTTTAATTTAATGTATTTGCCATTGAAGTTTTGATATTATAAAAAAAAAATTTTTTAGGATTTTTAGCTTCCTGGTTTACTATATGTTTACCTAGACTTTTCTATAAATTATTAATTTCTTAAATTACTAATGTTTTTCCCAATTTATCATAATGGCGGGATTCTTCCGCGGTATAGCGATTTCCTATCTTTAACCATTGTCCTCTGAGCTAATTTTGAAAATGGCGCCAAATATCAAAAGTCACGTGAAAAAGAGACACAGTTTTAAGGAAATGAAAAATTTTTTTATTTAATTACATACTTAGAAAGTTATACTATCGCTGCATATTATATGGTCTCATAAAATGTGAAAAAATTCGTAATTCGAAAAAAAATTCATTTCATAAATTTTTATTCTAGAACAAAAAACTCGCCACATTTGAGATTTTTATTTTATTCTAAAAACTACTTGACTAATATTTAAGCTATTTGTTAGTTTCAAAACTCAGATTATTATTCTCAGTAAGATAATACGTATATTTTAAAATTATAGCTTCGCCTTGAAAATAAGGCTGAGTCACACTGATGAAACTGTCATTTCCTTCCAGAAAGATCTTCGAAAAACGTCCATAATTGTTACATAATTTTGAAGAAAACGATCTTAAAAGTGCCTGTTTTTTTAATTCAAGAAAACTATATAAAACTAAGTGTATGTATATTGTATTAGGGGGACCGGAAAGTAGTATCGTTTCGGTGCATTTGATATTTGTTATCAAAATTTTACTTTTAATCAATAATGTATTCACCCTCGTTAGCAACAACCTTTCAATGCCCGATCGAAAAAAATGAATTGGTTTTTAAAACTAACAAATATTTAATGCTCCGACACGACATTACTTTCCGGCATCCCCTAATATCTATTCATTTTTAATTGTGTTAATTTTAAGTTTACATGTTTGATGAGTGATGATGAGTTTAAAATAAACTAACTATCTCTAAGCACATAACAAATAGTTCGGTTCTTCCATTTGGTGTATAAATTGAGAAATGAACTCGATATACACTCTATAACAAAAAAATCGACGCACCAAGAAAGAGTTGTCCGATTGAAACGAAAATTGGTGGATAGGAAGACAATATACAGAATAGTAAATTATTAAAATTTCAGAACAATTGTATAATTTATTGCAGAGTTACAGTAACAAGTTCAATAAGGTGTTGACCCGCCTCTAGCCTGGATACAAGCTGCCACACGGCGTGGCATAGACCGATAAAGCTCCCGGATGGTCTCTTGCGGTATTTCCTGCCAAATTCGATCCAATTGTCGAACGAGGTCTTCCCATCATATCCCAGACATGCTCGATGGGAGAGAGATCTGGTGATCTGGCAAACCAAGGAAGAGTTTGAAAAGCTTGCAGACAGTTCATAGCAACACGTGCCGTATGTGGTCTGGCATTATCCTGCTGAAAAACCAGCCCAGGGCGCTGCAAAATGGCGTGCAATAGTGAAGGCAGGATCCCCCCTCTGCCCTGTGCGTCTCCAAACACGTCTTCGATGATCGTCAGGACACAGTTGGAAGCGAGATTCGTCGCTAAAGACTATACGTCCCCAGTCGGCATCATTCCAGCCATATCTGTTCAAAACATTCATGCATACGAAATTTCAAAGCAATCGGATGATTGCTTCTTGGTGCGTCGATTTTTTTGTTATAGAGTGTAGATTGTTTTAATCTTTTTGGCACGTTACTATCAAACATTCTAAATCAAAAATATTACGGGCACAGGAAATAGAGGGCGAAACTTCACCTCATTTTTTTTTTGGTGGAAAAGACAAGGAAAGGGTAAACATGATTTTGACTTTTTTTAATTTTAACATGCTTTTTCGCCACGTGTGGTAATTGACTCCAATATCTTTCAGACAATTTTAGAAATGCTTATCATAACTCTCTAAACATATTGTTCCTTCGAAATCAAGCTTGGTTTTAATAATATTTAGTAAGACAAGTGGATAGTGGGTTAGATTGAATTAGTGTAATGGCACTAGTCCAGGTGTGTGGCTATATTGCAAAATGGTTGAAGTAAAAAAAATAAAAAGAAACAATAGAAAAATGAGAAAATGTGACTGCAGTATATCACTGTCGTATATATAGATGACATTATAGAATAGAATAATATCTGTATTTATCCAAAATAAATATGTTTCTATCTCTTCCTGAAAGGAATAAAATTAATGGATCAAACTTAAAAAAGAGAAAATCTAAATTGAAAAATAAAATTAAAATAATTAAAAAAAATTTCCACGAAGTTTTTCTGATAATTGCATCACTTTTAATTTTATATATAATATTCGTTTTTTATTAAACACTGAAATATTTTTCTTCTTATTTTTACAGCTATATTTTTTACTCACCTATTAGGAAAGCTGTATGAGAAGGTAAGATTGTAAAATTTAATTTTAATCTGATTTTAATTTAAGGTTTAGTTTAATTAGATATGTTTATTTATATGAATGCACCCGAATAATTCATGTGGTGAATGAGGTGTGGATATTGAATAACAGGAAAAAGTATCTCTCACCAATGAGAATAATACGAAGTTTTCAGTATTAGATTTACAGTTTACATTCACTTTCACATGGAGTGAACTACGTGTGAGGAACAATGACGATAAAAGCTAATTAAGATAGTGATGAGCCTTTCGTTTATCGCATAAAGTGTCTAACAATAAAATTATTTCCTTCTTTTAAAATAAATAGATTTCCGGTAACTAAAAATTTATAGCGACAAAATGTTTAAGTTTTAAATAATAATTCCTGCAACAAATCTATGTGACTAGGCATTAATTTCATTCCAAGAATCTTTTATTTTTATTTATTTTCTAATTTTCGTTCAAAATTTTTCTGAGAGATTGCTTTGCCATCATCAAAACCTATAAATGAAAGAAAAATAATGAAGTCAAAAATTAAGACTAAAAATCAAATTACGATATTTTCAAAAAAGTCCGCATCCGGCTCCCTCTGACCACCGTGATGACGTAAAATATCGTCAGTGGTAGACGGATCATGGGTTAGAGTCCCCTTGCCGTCAGGCTAACCGTGGGAAGTTTTCGTGGTTTTCCTCTCCATGTAACGCAAATGAAAGTTCATTCCATCAAAAAGTCCTTACACGAAGGCAAATTTCTCCCAATACTTGATTCGGGAGTTCCCTTGTCTTCTGGATTGGGTTCAAAATTACAAAGCTATCGAGTTGAACATTAATAGTCGTAAACCCTAAAAAAATTGGGTCGGCTGTTCAACGATGGCTATAATATAAGATAAAATATGCATTATGAGTCGCGATGGCTCAGGCGATAGAGCGCTCGCCTTCCAATGAGGTAAACCGGGTATAAATCCCAGCAATGACCGATCGATACGAATTCCGCATCCAGCTTACACCGACCACAGTGCTGACGTGAAATACCCTCAGTGATTGATGGACCATGGGTTTAAATCCCCTTGCCGTTACATAATATATTACTATACATAATATATTTTATATAACGCATGCACCAGTCTGCTTTAGGACACATTGTCCATCAGAAACATAGTTTTCAAAATTTTTATTTCATTTTATAATTTTCTTCTTTTAAAGTTTAAGTCTGTCAGTTCGTCAATTGTGAAGAAGATATATTGCCTCTATAATTGTCTTTATATTGCCACTAGCCCTTAATGTCTTAGTGCATATTTTGTGACACAACCTTTTCAACTATTACTCTCTAACTATTACTGCTTTTCGTTCGTCAAATTAAATCTGCTTTAAGTTTGTTTTTTTTAATAAAAGTTTTACACTGCTCTTACTAAGCTTTGCTTTTTGAAGGTTGTTAATTTTTTAAGATATATGAGAATACTAAGTCAACCTCAACCATCATTGACTGTAAATCTCCATCGAGAAGTTGCAGAATTACGTCGAATCACAAATCAGGTATTGTAACCCTCTGTTTTAACCCTCTTATTGTTAAGCATATGATCAAGTTTTTATAAAATAAAAAAAATCCACCAAACTCACTAGTTAATTTAATTGTATAATTTCCATTTTCTTGTAAAACAGCACAGTAAAAGAACTAGATTGGGGCAGAGTTGGCCGTCGATTATAGTAATCGATTACAACTGTAATTGATTACAGATAATTACAGCTATGTAATCAATTACTTGCAATCACGATTACAAGTAATTGATTACTGTAATCAAAAAATGTAATCGATTACATTTTTGGCCAACTCTGGATTGGGGAGGGGTGGAGAGAAATTTGGATTAAAATACTCGAAGTTTATAATGAATGTAAGCAAAATTCAATATTTCTGTAGTTGGAAATAGTTTAAATTTATTATTTGTAAGAAGAAAAAAACCTTATGTAAATATAAATTTTTTAATAGCTCTAATTATCTCATTTAGTTGTACGAGATTAAAAATTTCTAAAATGTGTGCAGGTTAAATATTGAGATTGTTATACAAAAGTAAAAGAATACAAAATATTTAATTCTAAATTGATAAAACTTCTTTGAAAAAAACGCGGTTAAAAGCAGCAGAAATTTCAAAAGGAAGAATAAATGTAGCAATAAAAGATACGAATGTTAAATACTTAGATTTCAAAATTGATACTGTTGACAAAATAATTAAAATTGGTGCTTTTGATGAAAGAAAAGCTTTTAAATTTAAAGTTATTTTTGTCTGCAACTTTAATACTAATCTGTGTAATAAAATTTTTAAAAATTTAGTTTTTTCACAATTTATTAGGGTTAAGAAAATTTGCAATAACGTTGCTGAATAATTTAGCGAGGCTGTGAATAATTTTTTGAATAATTTTTTGAATAATTTGAGTAATAATGATTTTCCTTTTAATTTTTGTAAAGTAAATTTTTTTGATTAAAAAAAATGATTGAAGAATACCAGTTTTTTATTTCTTTTAACAGGGCGCAATTCAAGTCTTAACTGAGCAGCCCCAGTTAAGCATTCTATTAATTTGTTGCGTATTCTTTTCTTTGACTTCTTTTTTTCAATCTGCGCATTTTAATAGAGGGCGTTGTTTTCTTTTGTTTTAAGTGTTTCTTTTGCATTTGGTTTGCTTGTGAAATTGCTGTTTGACCTGGTTAATGTGAGTTTTTATTTTCTGATGATTTTGTTTGAGTTTCTTTTCTGAATTGGTTCTATGTATTTCATGTTTTTTTTCCTGGACTTCTACAAGACCTTCGGGGTACTAAGGGAGTTAATTTAGGCATTTGCCCTCTCTCTCAATAGAAAAGGTTTTGTTTTATGGCTACCGGGGCCGGTACCCCCTGAAGACGTCGGCTTCGGTGGTCATATTTTTATTTCCTTCGTTTCCTTTATTGCTACATTGTTATACAAAGTTTTTCGTAAGAACCGCCATTAATATATATTTTAGAAATGAAAATATATATTTTCTGAATATCCTAGAAATTGCAAATCAAGTTCGTATTTTTTTTTCAATGCGAAACTAACATTGAGCAAAATAAATGTTGATTGTTTATAATAGTTTCTATTCTTTCCTATTCGCTTGCGTTAATTTGAAGCACGATTTTGATGCATAAACCAATCACTCGACCCTGGCTAAACAACTAGCTTTATTTTTAGGGTTCTATCTTTTAACAGCGATGGTAAAAATTTAATAAATTTTTCTCCCTAGTCAAATGACGTGAAAAGTAATTATGTAAGCACCCTCTTTTAAAACTTCCTTACCACAGCCACCAAAAAGTTAATTAATAAATCAACGTACTACTTATACGCGTTATCTGTTTAGTTGGCGGTAGGGATCGAACTAACGCTACTGACTACGCTAGTGGAGCGATCTTAGTATGTGAGCAGATATATAGCATTGAACACTGTGGATGTGTTAAACCATAATATAGTTCAAATTAGCTAAAACCTTAATACGGTGCCGAAATGAACCATAGAGCAAAATAATTCTTCTTGAACTAAGTTACATCATAACATGGTTCTACCTAAACAGAAGCGAGGCTTAATTAAAGACCATATTAATGTTTCAGCAAATTATAAAGATGGTATTGTTTATGAAATTGATAATAAGGTTCAATATTGAATCAAATTTTTTAAAAATGTGAAAAAAATAACAGCTTTTATTTATTATTATTATTATTATTATTATTATTTTTTTGTATTCTATTTAAGTCGATCAGCAGTTCAAAAAATAAAAACGAAAGTCTGAATTTCTGTTCGAATAACACCATTTATTTTGCTCAAAAAATTGGCATGCCTATTTTTTTAAGGATACCGAATCATGTTAATCAGTCCTTATTAACTTTTATTACAGGATACTTAGATTCTACTTAAATGAAAACATGGTTTAATTTAACATCTCAATTTAGATTCAGAAAATTTGCCATATACTAGGGTTCAAAGCACCGTTATTATTCAACATTGAAACATTCTTTCGAAAAGTGTAGTTGAATAAAACGCAGATCATTTTCTTGTGGTTCAAATTTAGTTTTTAATAAAAATGACCCTCTTTATTTAGCTAAAAAAATTGGTAAGCATATTTTTAATGGATTAATAATAACATGGTTTGAACTTTCGGTGAACTTAACATGGTACAAAATTGAACTATATTGTCGTGCTAGTCAACAGTTGTTAAATTTGATTACCCTAAAACATGGTTCTACATGAATTAAGACAATGTCAACTTCAACACCTAATTAAATTTGCAACAAATTGGCGATATTATGATTAAACGATAATTTGATAGAACGTAGAATCAATTTTTCTGAGAATGAATGAATTGGGTAATATAAAATAAGACAAAACAGATTGTTCATAAGATTCTTGGGCACTACCTGAAAAGCAATTAGGTGTGATTACTTAATGATTTGCATTAAGTAATCACACCTTTTGGTAAAACGGTTGTGTGTGGGCTATTACCGTCCACGCGAATGTCATATTTAATCGAGAGATAGTGATGGATATGTGTCACTAGGATTTTTCTGGTGTCTATTCTCGACTGTTAGTTACCGGAGCTTTTTCAAACTTGCGGTTAACTAATACAGATTATCACCACGCTTTACCTGCTTCAGTACTCATTTTATAGTTTGTTAGCATAAATCGGTAGGGTGGTGAATTATGAACCCCATCCCATTTTTAGCATGTTTGGATGCTGGTTCAAGAGGGTACTAGAACAGGAAGAAATTATTTGATGGATTTATTTTCACTTAGTACGTAGGAAACCTCATTTTTCAAGTTGCTCCTGCAGTTTTTTAATGGGATATGGATATGACATTATTCCGCTTGCGTCTATAGGAATCTTTTTGTGTTGGCGTTCGGCCTACAAGGTTAAGCGTAAGTACCAATGACGCATTTGGATTAATGCTATATCTCATCAAAATGGAACGAGAACAAATTGAAATATATTCTGCCTGCATCGATAGGAAGTTTCTTGTGGTGGCTTTTCGCCAACGTCAAGCGTAACTACCAATTACATATTCGGATTAATGTTATATTCCATGAAAATACCACGAGAACAAATTGAAAGATATTCTGCCTGCATCGATAGGAATCTTCTTGCGGTGGCATTTCGCTAACAAGGTTAAGCGTAAGTACCTATGACACATTTGGATTAATGCTATATCCCATCAAAATGGAACGAGAACAAATTGAAATACACATATTCTGCATGCGTCAATAGAAAGTTTCTTGTGGTGGCTTTTTGCCAACGTCAAGCGTAACTACCTATAACACATTCCGATTAAATTTATTTTATAAAAATGCCACGAGAACAAATTGAAAGGTATTCTGCATGTGTCAATGTGGTGGCATTTCGCCAACAAGGTCAAGCGCAAGTACCTATTACACGTACGTAAAATGCTATATTTTATTATAACAACACGATATCAAATTGAAAGATAAAGCTTTCTATATTCTTTGCAGATATACATTCGCCAATCCTTATTTCAAAGTCCGTTTACTCTCGTGTCAATTTTGAGCCCCAAACTCCCAGCACCCACCATGCTAAAAGAGGAAGGCTCACAGCTGTCCATTCATTCTTACAACCCTTAACTAATTGTACCTAATTGATCCATAGAAAAAGTAACTTGTGGGAGGCCTAACTGAGGAACGCCCCATCTAACATGCGTTCTTTTGACCACAAACAAATTAGCAATCTACTCTTTCTACCTTCTAATGCCCCGTCGAATGTCATATTTATTCAGGAAATAGGATTCCCGATGATTTTCCGGCATGAGATGCAGGAAATAGAACATTAATTAGCGTGTGGTCAAGAGTGTGTGTCTTAGTTAACAGCAAGAGTTAAAACATATTTTGTTTCGTTCTTTCACATAGATATCGAATGATTGGGGTGAAATGGCTAACGTCGTGACGTTATTTGATGGCAACAACGTGAAGAGTGATATGAAGTTAATGAACGAGTCCCTCCATGACAGTATGCTATGGTTTCAAGACGAAAGCGATAAAACTGAACAGCAGTACACAGAGATCAAGAAAACGATGAGTTCCATCCTAGAGAAAGTTGATTCCTTGAAGGAAACCACACGGAACAATGGCGATTCAATTTTAAAAACCATTCAGGATTGCAGAGCTTTAAACGCGTTCACGGAGCACAAGTACTGCCAGACAGAAAGAGAAATCGCTGTAAAGAGCAAAATACCAGAGAAAAAGCATTCAGTAAGATTTTTGTTTTTGTTCATTAAGTTATATCTCCTATATTCAGAATAAGCACAATCTGATAGAATTAGCACAATCTGTAAAATTACAAGGCTACGGAGTTGAACATTAGTAGTCTTAAACCCAAAATTTCGTCAGCTGTTCAACGACGGTTGTAAAGTAAAATAAAACCTAGGAGTCAAAATGGACCATACACTGTAATACATGGGAAATAAATTACATCGTCTATTATATGCTATCCATAGATTTTACTTGACTTTGAGAAAAAAGCTAAAAAAAAATTACGTAAACTAAGAGATGTATTATAAAATTTTCAATTAAAGTTTTAGACAAAAGGAAATAAACACACAAATTTTTAAAAAAATAGTTAAAATCTTATTCATTAGTGCAATAACTTTATTCGGGTTTTTTTTTTTTTTTGCCACACCCTGTAAATAGAATCAATACGAATATAGTTTTTACAATGACACGAAGATAAAACTGAGAGTTAAATGAGATTTCGCTGAAGTGACGTACACTTTCTTAATTTTGATATTATGATCTCCTTTTTTCAGAAAAAAATTACGTAAATGGATAAAAAAAAATATTTCTTAAGAGAAAAAAGAACAGCAAAATTTCCTACCGGTGTTGGTTAACTCAACAACAATTGCTCTCAATTATCGTCTAAGCTTGTTTTAAATCAATGCTCTTCTCTGAACATCCAGTCTTTTATTTAAGTTCAGTTGTGAAATTTAAAAATAAAAAAAAGATTTTTAAAGCAAGAAATTCTGCTAAATAATTCTAATTGAAAAAGGGCTAAAGGACATGTCCCTTATAAACCCATTCTATAACAGCCATTGTTCAAACTGGGTATTCTTAACCCTATTTCATTCGTTATCTAAAATCGATTAGCAATTACATCAACTTAGTGATCACAAATATGTTTTGAAAATATCTTTAACCGCTCGCTACTAAAAAACAGATTCTTTAGAAATGTGCAAGAGTATCAACTCATTTGACTTAATGTTCATGAAATATAAAAACATGTTGAAATCATCAGCGGGAGGTGATTGAATGCAATAGGAATGACATTGGATTCGAAATTTAGAACTAACTAATAAAGCTTGTAGTATCACTTCTGAAGGAGTTTACTTTCATAAGGGTAAAATTTGCGACAAAATGTTGGTGTGTATGCTAAATTACACGCAATGTTCTTTTCTCGAACAAAAAATTAGTTTTCACCCACGAGAGATCAGTTCTTTATATACGTCACTGAATAAATGAAATCAGTGTTTTTTTAAATTTATGAATGGTGCTGTCGATTAAATTGATGGAACTATTTGTCTCTAGTAAGTTGATAATATCATTTTTTTTCAGAAGGATAAAATTGTAGAAAGTTCCTCCTCTAAGCAAACTTTGCGAAAAATACTCGGTGAGCTTCAAAGGGAAATCAGAACAAATGCTTCTAAAGAAAGGGAAGAATTGATGTCCCAGCTGGAAGTTATTTCGACTCAAATTAACAATGACCGAGAAGTTATAAAGAATGTTTTGCAACAAGCTTTTGCAGCTACGGCCTATCAGAATCAGCAGTGTTTCGAAAAATTCGGAGTTGCCGGACAGGAAGTTTTGAACTACATGACAGAAAAGTCAGAAAAATCGAACATTCTCATGAAAGACAAGTTCCAAGAATTCGACAAGAAACTGTGTGATATTTTCGAGAGCATGAAATCGAATAGTGTTGACGTGACATCCATTCGAAGCACTTTGGACACTATCGATTCGCAGTTGGATGACATCTTCCAGAGAATAGAACTTGGCTGTCAAAAGAATGCAGATCAATGTGAAGAAGTTCTAGAAGGCTTGGAAACTGCGACGGAAGTTTGGAAAAACAGCACATCGCGCCTATCTGACATGGCCCAGTCTCTTTCTGATCTTAACTATGGCGTCGAACACTTGATGGGCGAACTGAAGCAAAGACCCGGTGAGACAAGCTTGGCTGTTGGCGACATATCTGGGCCCGATTCGATTTTTAACACTGGGGATCAAAACAACAGCGAACACTACTATGCCAATTTAGAATGTTTTCTTAAAATGCAAAACTTGGTGCAGACATGCACAGAAAAAATATCTTCCCTGGAGGGTCGGATCGAAAACGATTCAAGCAAACTTAAAATGGTTATGGAAAACTTGCTAAGACAGATCCAGTTTACATGCGATTTGTGTGTTAATGTGGTCGAAAAGTTTATGCAATCGGAGGCTCGTCAACTGGGTTCCACGGATTACGAAGCTGTTAATCCGGAAATAGGATTTAAAGGAGATATAAGTACAAATGCAGCGTTAAGAGAAGACGCTATTCAAACAGCTACCAGAATAGTGGATGATCCGTGCATGAGATCGCCGAAAAAGAACAGACCTTCGAAACTGAAACCACCAAGTAGCCCAAGTAAAAGAGGAAAAACGATTCACTCAGATCCTGTTTCGAATAACGGTTGTGGCAAAATTCAGGAACGGAATTTAGAATCGAAATGTAAGTAAATGTATTTCCAATTCATAAAATATCCAAAATTTGGGAAAAGGTCATGCTCCAGGAATATGCCATATATATATAGGCCTACAAGGTTAAGCGTAAGTACCANTATACAAAAAAAAAACAGGAATAAAATTAAGAAAATTTTTTGAGTGCTTCTCACACTATTGTATTGATATATTTTGCTTTGGCTATATTGATACAATATTAGGAAGCACTCTTTTATGCAGATATAATCGTGTGAGCTGATGAAAAGAATATATCTTTTATTTTCCGGATTTTTAAAAAAAAATTTTTCCTGTTTTTCCGATTTTTTCCCCTTCCAGTTTTTATTTTTATTATTATTTTTCCCCTTTTTTCATTGTTCTGTAATATTCCTTTGTTTTATCTACATTTTGAACACACACACACACACACACATCTATATATATATATACGTGTGTAAAACCAGGTTGACCATTTGCGGCAAAACCAATAACTCGCCATAAACAACACGAATAAAAACTGAGTTAAAAAAGGCGTTATTCGCGCGACGAATTGACAATTATTATTAATTATAATTAAAAAGATAACAAAAGGACATTATCAAACCATGTCAAATAACTATCTAGGTTCATAAGAGGGTTGTATTAAAATCATCAAAAATTAGTGTATAATGTTTGGAATGAAACCTTATGATAAACGAACACGTCATAGTTCTATCCCACTAATAAGCTGGTTTTTTAAATGTTTCATTACATTTTTTTCTGATTAATCGCGATAATGATTTGTCATTGTTAATATCGTTTCTGAAACTACGTAACTCAGGACTAGCCCGAGCATAGTATCAATAGTGATTTTTTCCCAATTCAACGACTGTTGCGAGTCTGCGATTTTATTATTATTGCAGACATAAGAAACATTCTTGTGTAACAACTTTGAATAAGAAACAGCTTTGTATAATAGGTTAAAGACGTAAGGAGTTCAGATGTTCCATAACTACAGCTGGCAACATGTATTTTTAAATTCCCTTTAAAAAATTAAGTAAAAATGAATACACATTATAGGTCGTAATCAATTTTAAAGCGTAGGAAAAACGAAAACGTTTTTATAACAGGCTTAAAAATATCAAAAGAAGTCAAATTAGTGAATACAATTTGGTTAAAGACTTCTATTAATTTCCTCATACAATACAAAAAGTTTTGCTGTTTTTAATCTCGCCTTCCTCTTTGATTATTCATTTTCTTTTTCCTTTTGCATAAATACTAAATTGTGACCCCTAATGAGTGTATTTTTTTCTCGTTTTTCCAAAATTATATATGAAGGGTGGTGATTACGCATCATTTTGTATAATTCCTGAGTAAAAAATTAAGGCAATGACGATTAAAGTGCCAAGGCTGACATATTTATGATATTTTATTTCATGATACATTTATATTCGAGTAACTTTTACTGGCGTTTGTCCGATAGCTTTGTATAACAAATGATGTTCAAGATGTATGAATGTTAATTTAATTGAAAAATCCGGATCGTTACGATTGTCACCGTTATTCTGCGGAGCGCCGGAGGAATTTAAAAAAAGATTCCAGTATTTTCAATACAGGCTTATTACAATCAACCTATATGCCTTTTGGCTAATTTAAAAAATGAAAAAATATTTACTCGGTTTAAATTGAATTAGGTATCTTGCATTTGGAGTAAAGAATATTTTAGAATATATTTTAACAGAATAATAAAAATAATATTTTCATTTTTCAGCTTTGTTTCATGTAACTAAAATATGACAATATGCCATAGCTTCATTTGTCATCTCTGTTGAGTTAAATTTAAAAAAAAAAAAAAAAAAATCTCAGAAAGTCAGCTGTTGGTTTAGAGTTAGTTTTCCTCACAACAACATTGTAATTTTCCTAAATCACCGCTGAATAAAATATATTATACAAAATACTTTACAGATTTAGAACTAATAACATAGAACAACATTACAGTTTGTTTTTGCCTTCAACTCCTAAAGCTTTGTCAGTAGAATTTATTTGAATGCATAAAATCAAGATAACTTTTTTAAGAATTATCATTCTCTTGTGTCGTTCTTAAAATAAAATAAAATGGAACATAGCCTAACAAGAGAATAATTTGTATTAATTTTTTTAAAAATATATTTGTAAATACATTGATTTAAAAAAAATCAATTTGGCCACTCTATTATTTTAAAATTTTGATATTTGTCAAGGAAAATTAGGCAAAACCGTTCCTTAAGGCTTCTTTTTTTCCGGAAAGAAACTCCAAGAATAAAATTGCTTGAATTTTGATTTAAAAGATAAATTAGGATTTTAACTCCTAAAAGAAAAATAATTTTTGTAAAAAAAAAAAAAGAAAAAAAACTCTAATAGGGAGAATACATTTTTTTTTTTATTCCAATATGCATAGATCTAAATTTATCCAATCCGGTCGGGTAAAACCGGGTATACCTAGAAAAAAAAATTCTTCCGAAATATTTATTTATAGCAATAAATTAATACTATGACCATCCCACGCTGAAAAACTGAGATGGGTTTAAAAATCAAGTAACTTAAGGAATATATTTTGAATTTATTGTAAGTTGTTGATCAGATTCGAGAACAGACATCACAAATAAAAATTTAATTGCATTTCTTTTCAATGATGCAAGCTATCACGTGTTCATAGTTAACAGTTTGTCCATCGTTTACAATGCATCGTTTACACTGTGCAATCTGTCAGGGGAAAATAACTCGGTCATGTCCAAGTGAAAATATACCTGTTTTACTCGACAGCTGCCATTTAATTGAAAGTTAGTCTTTGCATGTTTTAAACGTGTTTAAAAAAAAAGCTTTTTTTAGAAATTTAAAATAATTAAAAAGGTGTATAATCAGATGTTGAACTTACCTAAAATTAATCTTCAAGCAATTGGATACTAAATTAAATCAGTGGAGCAAAAATCATAACTTTTCTAATCGAATTTTTCGTAACATTGACGTAGACAAAGAAATAGCCTACATTGTCTTTTATGTATCTCTAAATAACATAGAGATTGTTCGAAACTTTTTTTATATATTATTTCCAATGAGCTGCACAATCAGTCTTCCCGATGAGCAGACCTAGTGCGTTCTCCTGAGGTGGTATCCAACTCTTTCAGGACCACCACAATGGGTGAGATACCGTTGGTCATGTTAATTTGGACGTCTAGTTTCTGCCACACTAGATGGCAGCACCGAGACTGCTCAAAACTAGTTTTATGGGATTTCTGATAAAGGAAGAGCGATAGTCTAGTAAAACATTTCGAGTCCTGGTTTTATATAATTCCACCTTAAAAATGATGGGATAATCCTAAAGTGAAAGATTACACAATAGTTCTAAAGCTTCAGCATTTTAAAATATTACTTTTCATTGTTTAAAACACATGTTGACCTTTTTCAAAAATTTATGTAATTGGACATTACAATAAAAATTACAATACAATTATAATAACAACATTTCAATATAGAAATTATAATTCATTTAATGTTTTTGAAATTTATGAAAATTATTGTTTTTATGCAAATGGCTTATATGATTGTAATTTAAATGATAGAAAAATATGTCCATTGATTGAAATATTACAAAATATATATGTATTCTGATATTATATTAATGTTTTGAACGTTTCATGTATTTCCTTACTTTCAGGGAAAAAATAAAGGAAATTTTCTGGAGAAAGAAATGCCGAAAATGCTAATGACTCAAAACTGATCATATCGAAATTATACTTTTCTGAGAAAAAATTTTGAAATTAATAAAAAATTTTAATGTGGATGCTTTGTTAAAAATTACAATTGTTATTATTATTAAAAAAAAAATTTTTTTTTAACTATAAAGTGAAATTTCTGTAAAAAAATTAATTAAGTTATTTTTTCTCACAACCATTCCTCAAATACAAAACATTGATTTTTTTTCTTTCCTTCTTTATTTTTTTTAAGAAAAAGAAATTAGTTTTTTCGCTTTCCAAACTGGGACGTGGCGTTTTGTGAAATGTATGCGCTTGTTGATTTTAATATAAACTTATATAATTGCTGTGATTTATATAAGAGAAGATCTGAGCATATTTCGTTTAATATGTGTTATATGATATGTATTATGCATTGATTCAGTTTTTAATTCTTCTAGTTATTGTGATTTATTTAGATAAAATTCGAAAATAAGCGAAAACAGAAAACTAAAATATTTCTTGAAGTTCTAGACTTCCTTATATTTAGTGCTGCCATCTATATATTCTTGAACAAACTAAAAAAAGAAAGTGTTCAGTGTTGTATGCTTAATATATTTAACGAGGCATTCCATTGCTTTCATGAATAAAAAATGCAAAATATCGTCCTTACAAACTCATTTCATAGTTCTGCGAACATGATTTATGCATTAATTCAATTTAAACTTCACAAAATTATTGTTAATTTAATGAAAATAAAAATCAGGAGAAGCTGAAGGAAAAAAATTGTTTTCCAAATTATATAGTTCCACTGTTTCAGTGATACTGTCTGCAAATTTTCATATTAATTTAAAAAGAACGCATTCAGTGAAAGAATATAATGTCTTCATAGAGACAATTATGACAATTTATACTTTACATTATTATCTACGAAAAATATACAGACCTTACAAACTCTTTTCCTTTCATATTGCGTTTAATAAGTGCTGTGTGAAATATTTTTAAGTTTTGATTAAATTTTAAATTCATAAAATTACTTATTATTTAGTGAAAAATTAAAAATAAGAAAAAGATGAACGAAAAAATGTTTCTTAAAATTTTAGACTTTACGCTTTCAGTGCTACCATTTATAGATTTATGGCACACCACAGATTCTTAAATAAATTAAAGATAAATGTATTCATTGATCAATGAATGAATATATATATATAGGAGNTATATATATATGGTATCTTTGAGTCCCTATCCTAATTTTTAAAACATACTTACATAATATACAGTTTAATTTTCAGTACGAGAACATTTTAAGTATTATATTATAATTGATTAGTTCCTCCTCTTCTTCTTACTTGAGCTTGCTAGATATGTGGCACCTCTGCATTTGTTGCATTTTGTACCATGCTCCAAGCCCAATTTTTCCTAGTTTCGTTGTCTTGGGTGACATTGGTCGCCTACTTTGTTTACATAGTCTGACAGTCCCTTAATGGAGTTAAGGTGTAATTCTTTAGGATATGGATTGCCTAAGGTAGTGAGGCGCGTAAGGGCGAGGGCATCACACTCGTATAGGATGTGATGATGTGCTGATTCTACCGCTTCACGGCATTTCCGACATATTGATTCTTGTTCGAAAACTCCCATTCTATGTAGATGTTTCCTAAAATGATAGTGCCCAGTGATGAAGCCTACAATTGTTTGAATCTTCAATCTTGGGAACCTAAGGATTTCAGAAGCAACTTTTGCAGATGGACTGCTGATCATGCTTTTAGCATGTTTTTGTCCAGGAGAATTGCGCCAAACTTTGTTCATCTCCTGTTTTCCCATTTTAGGATGGCCTTCTATGTAGTCTTCATATTGATTCCACAGAAGGGTTCCGTTCCTATTGGATTGAAAGAGGATCCCTGTTTTGCGAGTTCATCAGCTCTTTCATTACCACCAATTCCTATATGTCCTGGTACCCAAATAAGAATATAATAGCCCATTGTGCAGCTCTAGTGCGACGTAAATTAACAACAACAACAACAACAACCAAATAAGAATAATTTTATTCTCTTTTGCCAGTTCTTTTAGGAGATTCTTGTATTCCAGAACAATTTTTGACTTAACTTGAAATGAGTGAAGAGCCATCAAGGCTGCTTGACTGTCACTGAAAATAAGAATCCGCTTAGGTAGCCTTTCTTAATATTTATCTGCAGACAGTTGACGATCGCAAGTACCTCCGCCTGAAAGACGCCGCATATTCCCCAAGACCTTCAAAAAGATTGAATCTTGATGACACGCCACAGATCCCCATTCCTGAGAGGTTACCTTTCTTTGATCCATCGGTGAACCAGATTAGATCATCATTTTTTGCATCAATCGTGTTGTTATATAATTCTTCTCTGGTAGGAAAAACTATCTCAAATGGTCTCTCAAACACGTACTTTCTCTCCATGCAGTCAGAAGGCATAAGGAGAGTTGGATGGTGGATTTTCTTAGTAATACTGGTATGACCTCCAGAAGAGGGCCTGCCATACCACTGATATTGCAGTTTCATTCTATATGCAGTCATTCTGGCATCGCTGCACATGAAGATATCTAAAGGAGTCAGGTCCAGAATTGCCTCTAGTGCTCTGGTAGGGGCTGTGGACATTGCGCCTGTGATACACAAGCAGGCCAGTCTGCGCAGACTCCCCAGCTTGTCCTTCACAGTTTTCTGTTCTACTTTACACTACCATGTCACTGAAGCATAAGTGAAAGCGGTCCTGACAATTGCTGTGTACATCCAAAACATCATTTTTTGTGTAGACCCCAGTTTTTACCAAGCATGCGTCTGCACATCATTATGCATTTTTTTGCTTGATTGATTTTGTAGTCAGCATGCTTATTCCAGGTGAGTGTTGGGTCAAGGATTAAGCCTAAAAATTTCACGTCGGAGGCAATATTGATTTCTACGTCAAAAAGTTTCGGGATAAAAAAGCCTTCCCTTTTTATTTTACTAGTGAATGGTACTAGATTGGTCTTCTGTGGATTTATGTCCAGATTACTCTCCCTGCACCCTTTTCTTACATAACTTAGAGCGTTTTGCATTAGTTGGCAAATTATGTAAAATTCTTTACCAAGGATGAGTATGACAATGTCATCCGCATATCCCTGGGTATAGTAGCCTATGTTATTTAGATGTTTTATTAGGCAATTTACAGCCAGATTCCAAAGTAATGGTGATAGTACACCTCGTTGTGGACAGCCTCTGGTTGTTTTCTTTCCTAATGTTTCGTTGAAGATATTCATTTGAATGACTCTATCCAAAAGTAGGGTCCTAATCCATAAACATAAAGTTTGGTCTATCCCTGTATCTCTTAAGTCATTAAGGATGGCTAGGTGAGAGGTATTATCAAAAGCACTCTGAATATCTAGGAAAGCGGTCAATGCAATTTCCTTTCTCTCCAGGGTGTCTTCAATCTTAGATACTAGCTTAAATAAGGCTGTCTCTGTGGATTTGATTTACCAGGTTGGTTGGCAAACTGTAGATTATCCAAGGGGTTATTGCTACCCAGGTAATCCCTAATACGCCTCTCAATAATTGTCTGCATAATTTTGAGAAAGAATGAAGATAAGCTGATTGGTCTGAAAGACTTAGCCTGGTCATAGTTACTTTTGCCAGGTTTGGGAATGTAAACAATCCTGGTCTTCTGCCATAGCTTTGGAAAGTGTCCCAGTGCCAGACTAGCTCTGTAAATTTTGATTAACACAGGGGTGATAGGATCTGCTTTGGATCATTGCAGGCATGATTCCATCAGGTCCAGGGCTCTTAAGTGATCTGAAGGTGGAGATAGCCCACCTGACATTGTCTTGATTGATAATATTCTTAGCATAGGTCCATTGATTTCTTTGTATTCTTTTTACAGAGCCTCTTATCATAGGTTCATTGATTTCCTTGTATTCTTTTTACGGAGCCAATAAAATGCTGTCCTTCATTGCTATCCGTATCAAAAGTGGGGGCTCCTGGAAAGTGAGTTTTGGCCATAACTTCCATTATCTCTTTTCCAATGGTGGCAAAGTTGCCATCCTCATCCTTTAAGGTGCCAACCATTATGGGTTCATCCCCTCTAAGAATTCTTTGGAGTCTAGCTCCTTCAGAGATAGAATTTACCTCTTCACAGAGCTTTCTCCAGGATTCTTGTTTGCTTTTTCTAACATTTTTGTTATAGTTGGTGAGGGCGCTTTTATAATTATCCCACTCACCATGTTTCTTTGCTCTATTGAAAAGTTTTCTAACGTTTGCCCTTTCAGTTTCCAAAGAATTATTCCACCAAGGGCATTGGGGCTTTGCTCTTTTGGTACGTATTGGGCAATTTTTATTGTATGAACCTAGAATTTTGTTCTGCAGAGTTTCTGCTGTAATTTCTAGATCATAATAATCTCTAATATAATTTTCACCTAGTTCAGTCAGCCCCATGATATCGTTTTGGAATTTCTTCCAATTTGTTCTCATGGGGACTCTGAAGCAGCGGTCCAGATTTATATTTGGAGTTTATTTCAAGATGGATGTTTTGATGGTCGGTACCTGATGGTCTACCATCTACTTTCCATTTCGTGACATTTTTACTAATAGCCGGTGTTGCTATAATAATGTCAATTACTTCAGAACGATTAGAAGTTATAAAAGTAGGATCATTGTCGTTATTCAAAATATCTGAATTCTAATTAAGAATAAATTCTAAAAGACACTCACCTCTTTTATTTGTATCTGTGCTGTCCCAGACAGTATGGTGAGCATTGCAGTCAAGCCCTAAGACTGCCTGCAACCTGTTTTCTGCACATAACTCCAAGAGTTTGTGCAGTGTTTGATCAGGTGGAGCCTTCTCTTCATAGGATAGGTAGACTGAGCCATAAAAAAATTCTCGGTCTCTTCCCCCTATTTTGAGTCTGATTTTCACTGCTGTTAAATCCCTATAAATAAAATCTGCCTGAGGTAGAACCTCAATATCTTTACCTATTAGGATACATGTTCTAGCTTCAGTATTAAGATCATAACTGAGCTTACCTTTTGTTCCTTTGAGGCCACTGATTTTTCCCCTGACAAGCCAAAGTTCTTGGATCAGGGCCAGGTGAAAATCCTCAGTAATTAGTTTGAAAAATGTAATGTTATGCATTTCTTTTCTTTCTTTTTTTACTATTTGTAAGCCTAGTAGAAGCTTGCTACTATATTTATGCGACCCCCTCTTATATATAGCACTTTTAAACTTGCACATTTAAACAAAGAATAGGCTGTCATTTAATTAATCTTTTGATTAATGTTTTTACAACATGTAAAACAGAATAACGGCCCGTTTTAGAGAAAGTACTTGTGTCATTATTTTACAGTCATTTTTAGTCTTCTTTATTATCACAAAAAAGAAAGGGGAAATATAAGATTACTTTTGAGTTTTTACAATACTAATGCATAAAAACCAAGATTATGAATGATATCGCATTCCTTAAAGAAAATTAATAACGGCACTAATATATTTATCCCTTTTGTCATCTAATTTGCCAATTGCTCATGAATTAACAAGTGCCTTCTTTTTTTCTTTATTTATTTAATTACTTCTTTAGGGGCCATTTATAAAATACCTTTTTTAGCCCTTGAGATAACACTACTATGTCATAAGTGCCATTCTTCATTTATTTTATTTTATTTTAATTAAAAAACTAATAATTTCAAAAAATTAAAATTAAATAATTTCAATAAATTTAAAAAGTGCAATAGGTTTATGGATCCTAAAGATACTCTAGACTCCATGAATAGGTTGCACAGAGCGAATCAAATTAATTCAATCCATTTACTTCACTGCAAGTAGTCCCGCAGTGGCCTGATCGTCAGGACATGGTTCCCAGCAGATTACCGAAGTCAAGCATCACTGGCAGCGGTCGGTGTGCCAGTGGGTGACAACTTGGATCAGTCGGGGTAGGGACCAAGGGTGTGCGGTATTGGTATTCGTTAAGCTGTTCTACCGCAAAGTGCTCGACTTCGCGTGCAGGTTGTCGGGCTACCGAAACTGAGGTGCCATTCTCTCTGCAGAGGATCAAAATTGTGATGGTATGTCTTCGGATCATCCTTAGGGATGCTTCCCAGACCGTCGCCAATAGTCCATTGTACAGCTCTAGTGTGACGTAAATGAACTATTACTACTACTCACTGCAAGTAGCTTAACTTTATTAAAAAATAGTTGAAAGGGTTTGAGAGTATTTCATTAAAAATAGCTTAAAGGTTACAAGCTTACTTCGTTAGATCGACAAAATCATAAACTTCAACTTCAAATCATAAACTTCAATACACTTCAACTTCAACTGCACTTAAACTTCAACTGCTTGTTTGCTTGTCCTTGATGGCCAAACTTTCAAGGCTTTTTCACGTGTCATCCGCATCACGTCCACTTAGTAGGAATAACATTTACCATGACGCAATGCTAAATTCTATGCCACTATCCACATAAATCAATTATTAATCAAAAATCGAATATCAATTACTTTTCTTTATAATGCAATAAAATCTGGCGAGCAGCTATTTAAACGATCAAGCACTTCGTTTGTTTATTTGTGGCTTGAAGTTAGGCTCGCAGAAAATGCCGTCCATGGGTTAAATTTAGTAGGAATAACACAACCTGCGACGTAGTCTATAGTATACCCAATTAGTGAAACATGGTCATGAAACTCGAGTACACAATGCTATGGAAAGTAAAAGATTTTACTAAAAGTAGGATTAATAGGCACAGTAAGAAATTTCGCCCTTTTAATGGAAGAAATCCAGTATTTGATCTTTTTGGGAAAGTTTATAATCCAAGCTTTATCGTTTTTTATAAGAGTGAAGGAAATTTTACGAAAGAAGAAGTAAGTGGATTCTATTTAAAAAGTGATGGTGCGTTACCGAGCGACTTCAGAGTTCGATGTACGTGTATGATTAAAGTTTTAGATGATTCTGCTATATCAAATGGTGGAAAACAATCTGTAGATCAAAACGAAGTTTTGCTGTTTACTGTTGTTACTAAAGGTAAAACTTTGAGGGTTGCTAAAGACGTTGTGGAGTACTCTCGTGAACATGATTCTATTGATATAGTATTTGTCTTTAAAATGTATTTTAGCGATCCTGCAATAAATATTCCACTTAAAAGACATTGTTTATCCTCTGATTTTAAATACCTATTCGATTCGAAAGAAATGGCCGACGTAACTATCAGTTTTGGGGATGACTCTCTTCTCGCCCACAAATTAGTGCTCATTACTCGCTCTCCTGTTTTTAAAGCTATGTTCGACAACAATTGCTTGGAATCCAATACGAAAACCATCCAGATCACCGATGTTGATGCTTCTGTTTTTAATAATTTTTTAAAATATCTCTATTGCGATGAAATCGGTGACAAAAGTTATGATATGGTTCTTGATTTGTATGTGCTTGCAGATAAGTATGCGGTTGATGGTCTTAAGGAAAATTGTAGAGACATACTGGTGGCTGAATTAAATGAAGGTACTGTTTGTCAACTTCTTGAGATGTCCCATTGTTGTACGGATGAAACTTTGAAAGAAAAGGCGGTTGAATTTATTAAACAGCATTGTTCTGCAGTGTTTAAAAAACCAGAATGGTCAAAACTATGCAAAGATCATACCGAATTGTCATCATATGTTTTGGTAAGGGTTTCCCATTTTATAGATAGGTTAAATGAAAATAAAAAGTAAAGCCAAATTGAAAGTTTTTCAACAAAAAGTTTTTTCAAATAATATTTTTCGGGCTAACGCATTTATTTTTTTTAGTGTGCTCAAACATTCTTTTTGAAATGTGCTGTATTTTTCTTATATATTGATTAATCATCGATTTTTGTCTCATGTTGTTTAAAAAGTGAATTACTTAACTATCAAGGTTAATTTTAGAGTTTGATAATGTAATTTTAAAAATTTACTTATTTAACTAATGAAATTTATTTCATGTATGGTCGCAAATTTTGGAAGAATATTTGATTCAGTATAACAAATTTATGATATTTTTTTTAGACAATATTATTATTTTGTACTACTACTAATTTTTGCTAGAAATGGCAAAATATAGTACAACTTCTGCATTTTTTTCCATCATAAATAATTTAAAATACAATATTAACTTCAAAATGCATTTTCCTTAGTTTTTGAAAGTTAAAAAAGCATATAAGTATCTATCATCAATATTGGATTTCATTGTTCAAATAGCTGTTTCAGTAACTTTAGCAATTACCCATTATGTTCTTGATCATTACTGAAATATTTGTTTTTTCTTAACTCTTTAATTTTATTACAATTTATTTAGACGATTGTTCCCCCAATTATGAATCGAATATATTTCATATAATTTTGTATCATAAAAGAATCAATTTTCTTCAATTCAAAATTTTTATTAAACAAATTTGTTCTTAACTATTACTTTGTAAATGGTGTTATATACATAGTATAATGCTTAATATATTTTATTTATTGAATAGTTCAATGGCTAATATTATTACATTTATTTGTTAATTATTATAAATTTGTTTATTTGTTAATTATTATTATATATCAGTTTATTTGCTCATAATTATTTTAAAGTTATTAGTTCCTCCTAATTGATGAACTGGATTATATATGTGATATCCGTAGTAATGATGAAATAAGTATGTTTTTTCTGTTCTAAGACTGAATTAGGGAAGATTTCCGTATCGTGATCTGTGGCAGATATATTCCCCAAAGCTTGTATATATATGTATTTAGGGGGGGGAGCCATCGAAATCTGTCAAAACATTATTAGTAAGGCGGAATAAAGAACACCAATATTAGTTGGTTTTTCTGTTGAAACTGGAATCTCCTTAAAGTCCGGTTTACTTCAGTTAATGATTCGTTAGATTTCGATTGCTTTTTGTTTTTCATTGATTGCATATTTTATAAACAATTAAGTTTTAAAAGTATATTTTTTATATATGTATATTGTTATGTTTTATAAATATATTGTATAAATGATTATGCATTTATAAACAATTATGTTTTATTAAAAAGGATACATGGTTTTCTTGGATGATTTGTTCTTCTACAAATAACGTTTCCTGTTTGTATTGTATTTGAAGCTTTATTTCCTAAAACTATAAATTGTTTGCATTTGTAACACTGAAGATTTGACAACAATTGAACTTGTTTATTTACTAATAAATTTTGTCAACTTCTTCTAGTTTGTAATGCTTATTTATAAAAAAATGAACTAATTTTGAAATGTTCGTTATTGTTAAACAAATACAATACTTATAGTTGTGTTTTCATTCAAAAAAATTATTATTATTATCTTGCTATTTTAATTTAACTTCTAAATGTGTTATTATAATTACATTTGATGTGAAATCATTTGGCACTATAATTGATTTTATGAAGCTAATTTAAAGCAGAGTTAATCTTTTGTCAGAAATAAAAACAATTTCTTCCAGGAAATAGGAAGAAAATTAAAAAAAAACCTAAAGAAATGGAAGAAGCTAAAAATGATCAAATATAATTTTTTAACTACATTGGTTAGAACTGCTCAACTGATATGTACATACATTGATAACATACAAAACAAATACCCATTCAATAATAGTAGTACACACTCAAGATCGTATATAACACTCGTAGTCGAAAGGTGCGAAATTGTCACATAACAAATCAGGCCAACTGTCACTGGAAATGAAAAACCTCTGTGGCAAAATTTTTTCAAGCTATCTGCGACAGAACTTTCTGACACTAATATCTTTCTGCAAGATACTTTTAATGATAACAAACATATATGTTACTCAATTTAAATAACAAAAGTTTGTGTGCGTGTTTAAATAGTAAAAGTTTGGGTAAAAAAATGTTTACAAAAAAAAAAAACTAAATATTTTTATTTAATTGAAAGCGTAATAATTTTTTTTTTTTAATATTACAGGTGATATTCTCGCATTTTGGTGGGGATGGGATGCAGAAATTATTTAATTCTTCGCATTTTGTAAGTAATCATCACGGTAAAAACAAAAAATTAAAATCAGGATTGTAGTAATTGCCAAAAAAAAAAGATAGACGGCGAAATCGCTTGAATTGGACTCCTAAAATACGTGTTTCGTTTCGAGATTAGGTTGTTCTAATACGATACGAATTTTTTATACGATATCATTGATATCGTATAAAGAATTTCGGATTTAAGAACTATGGAGAAATCAATAGCAATAGCTGCCAAAAATTCAATATAATTATTGCCTTAAAAAGTAAATAATCAAATTTCGCGATTCGAATTTTTCAAATTGTTTGAAATATATCGGGATATTTAAAATCCACATGAAAATCAATATCAATAACTGTCGAAAATACAATCAAAGCATTATATCGATTTACGATACTATCGGTGTAAATGGAGCGTGCCAAAAAGGGGTTATCAAAATGCATGATTCAAATAATACGTTTAAAATTCTGTAGAAAAGAAAAGTTTTTTTTTTCACTTTTCAAAAGAAAAATCTTCTGCGACAATGTCGCTGCGATTCTGCCACGGGGTGAAAAACTGCCTTAATTTAAGTATGGAATCACGATGTAGGGCTTGTATATTTGTAAAAGGCGATCATACCCCCTGTTGAAAACAATTTTTTTCTGTTAATTTTGCAATCGCTGTTTCATACTTTCCTACGAATGTTACACATGATCATGTGTGTGTGTGTACAATTGTTGAGTGGTTATTATTTTTTTTTATTGTATCAATGTATGTACCAATCAAATATTTGAACGAAATGGGTCGATTAGATCTGATGAAAAAAATATATACATACGATTTAAATTTTATAATTCGGAAGATATTTTACCAATTTATGTTCTATTTCTCTTATTTGAAATTATGTAAAAATTTTGGTCTTTTGCATCTTGCAATGATATTAAATAAAGGAAAAATAAATAATTTTTAAACATGCATTTTTGGATAGAATTATCTTTGAATGTGTAAGTCTTATAAATGTGAGTAAAAGAAGAAAAAAAACTTCCCCGTGTATGACAAAATACGTAAAAAGTGAAGAAGAGGAGACTCGACCCACTCAAAAAATACGACGTAATTTAAGCAAAAATTACACTGGGTACTGGGAAATAAAATTTTTGATTTTCTAATTATCATGCCTATATGGGGTGTGAGGATTTCAGCTCTAAAATCAGTTTTGTTCGGGAAGCTACGGCTTTTTTTTAAAATCTCGAACTGATATTTTTAGATACCATTCCCTACGTAGCATAGAAGTGGGGGGGGCACTTGATATATACATGAGGGAATTTAAAGAATCCCTATTAGGAATGTATTGTTCAATCTCATAAAAACTTAGCGTGTACACAGAAGCCGATTGTAGATTTGAAATCAACGACGCGAAAATATCAAGATCAGTTCGAAAATCTCATACAACAGAAAAAATGTGTTTGATAATGGTAGTTAACATTTTAATTTTTTTTTTTTTAAATGTCTCTTAATTTTTAATGTCTAAAAGTACAATGGAAAAAAGTATTTTTTTTTTTTCGTTCATTTTGCAGATAATTAAAAAGAGAACGCAAAGCAACTGTAAAATATGTTAAAATTAGTAAAAAAAATAATATTATGTACATCAATTTCCTTGGACTTCAAAAACGACTATAATTATGATAAAGTTCAATATATTAGCAAACTGACTCTTTCTAGTGAAAATTTTGCAAGGAAAAACATTACTGATATCTCAATACTCCAAATACTGATTTTTAAGAAACGAATTTAGCCAAAATAAATAGAAAATATTGCAACACCATATCTAACATTTCTTATAGTGGAAAAAAAAAAAAAAAAATCCGCTACTATATAAACTAAAATATTGTTAGAAGTTCTAAACTTTTTTTTTATTTAGTGCTGCCATCTATATATTCTTGAACAAACTAAAAAAGGAAAATATTCACTGTTGTATGCTTAATATATTTATCTGGCATTTCATCGCTTCTATGAAAGAAAAGAAAAAAAAAAGCAGAATATCGTCCTTAAGAACTCAATTCATAATTCTACTAACATGAGTTATGTAAATTGCATTTATGTATTAATTCAATTTGAACTTCACAAAATAATTGTGATTTTAATGAAAATAAAAAGCTGAAAGAAAAAATGTGTTTTCCAAATTGAATATTTCTACTGTTTTAGTGATACTGTCTGCAAACTTTCATATAAATTAAAAAAGAACGCATTTAGTGAAAGAATATATCTTCATAGAGACAATTCATACTTTACATTATTATCACTGTAAAATACACAGACCTTATGAACCATTTTCCCTTCATATTGTGTTTAATAAGTGCTGTGTGAAATATTTTTATGTTTTGATTCAATTTTAAAATCATACAATTTAAAAAATTCAAAATAAGAAAACACTGAACGAAAAAATTTTCTTGAAATTTTAGACTTTACGCTTATAGTAGCTATCTATAGATTCTAAAATAAATTAATAATAGATGTATTCAATGAATGAATATATATATATATATTCACTCATATAGTATCTTTGAAACCCTATCCTAATTTTCAAAATATATTTATATGATATACAGGCTAATTTTCAATAAGAGAACATTTTACGTATTATATTATAATTAATTAGCGTGAAAAATGTAGTGTTATGCATTTTCTTCTTTTTTTTTTTACTATTTTTAAGTCTAGTGAAGGCTGTTGCTTGGCTGACCGCCTTTTTTATAAATAGAGGCATTTGATTGGTCGATTACATCATCGTTTTCATCGTTATCTCTTCATCGTTTTGTCAGGTTTACTAGAATGGCGTTTTTAGCATTTTTGTTTGGCGCAATTTTAATAACGCGCATGCTCAGTTTGATAATTTATTCAAACCAATCTAAGTACTTCGTAGACAAAGAATATACACGCTTGTATCCCCTCCTTTGCTCGTGTA